AATATTATCTTCTATATATCACTACAATATAGAACGTCACGCCTGCGCAGTGACTGGTTGACAAGAACCGGTAGTTTGCAACCGAAAACAATAAAATTACGATGTTATTCGCTTCCGGTGAGTTTAAATATACGTATACGTGTCCCTGTTAATAAAACAACTAGCGGACAGTGTTATCACAATATATCGTGAGCTAGGGATGACAAGGTTTTTGTTATTATCATCATCTTTATGATATTTTTGATTATTTTGATTGTTTTTGTTTTTTTCATCCTCACTTTATTGTAATTTAACTCAAGATCCTATAAAGGATACGGTAACAATAAAGTTTATTATTATTATTTTTTATTATCACGCATTCGCTTGCTGATTAGCATAAATGTAAACATATGACGTCACAGTGCGAGGCATTCTGTAGATTAAGGTAGAGATGCAGTTTACCTGACAGGTATTTTAATTAGTTATTTAGGAAACCAAGATGACCTTCTTCGTCAACAAACTATATATTTTCGGAAAGCTTATTGTATGAATTTTAAAATTTTGTTAGTATTTTTTTCTATGTACACTGTAGTTTGAAATATGCACAAAAATATGCTTTTTTAGTCAAAAGCGATTTAAATAAAAGTAGCTTCTAAACCATGCTTCTGTTTCCTGTCAAAATTGGTTTATGGGTACATCTGTTTACTATGAAGAAAATACCGTATTGAAAACTGTCTACCAGTTGTCAATTTTGCAGGGCAGTAGCTCAAATTCCACTACTTCAAGTTTATGCATAAACTAACACCCAGGCTAGTTGTCTGTACGATTGTTGTAACACTGTTCAACCAAAAACAATGTCCTGACGGCGTTTTGAAGATAAACACATTGTCAATCGTTTGTGAAAAATTCAAAACAAACGGTCAAAGCGTCTAGGAGCTATTTTTTTAAAGTTCTGGGATGTGCACTAAAAAGAAGCTAACTTTAAGATAATTGCTAATTTGCATAACAATTCACTCAGTAAGAAATTTGCTAATGTTCATAATTAAAATGGCTGTAACAGTTCCAAATTTAAATGTATTATCATTTTGTTAAAAGTTAAATATAGTGCATAATATGGAGATCCAGTCATTTCTTTTTTTCACCATGTTTCTTTTTTATTATTTTTGTACAGCCTTGCTAAATTTTGCTAAGCATTCAAAGGTAAGAATTTTGCACCTGTTATCTATATTTTAAAATCGTTTTTTGAGTATGTTCCACTATTCACAATTCTACAAAATTTTAACAGTCTATAGCCAAGACTGTTTGGATAATAAAAAGCAAAAAACAAAATTCACGAACCTGCATCTCTACCTTAAATGGGTATATGATTACACGCTAATTCGAGGTGCCTTTTAAGGGGCGGTAGTTAGTCAGCAGCACAAACGTAGGAAGGTGCCCGCATGTACAATTTGGAATTATACAGTTCCGCGTCATTGCACGCTATTTTTTTAAGCGACCTTCTTTGCGAGGAGTGGGGAAGTTCGTATAGCGTGGTGAGATGCGTGACTGGTCGCAGCAGCAAGTTGCTTTACCGTGGCCCTGAGTTCCGTTGAATTTTGTTGCGTGTTTATATGTTCGTAATATGCCTGTAACTTATATTGATAGATGACCCGGTATATTATTATTATTGAATTTTTCGTCATACATTGCCTTGGTCAATTGTTTATGCAAAAAAGTTATTTTTTTATCAAAAACCATTACAAAAATAGCGTTAAAACTATTGATGAACATTTCGCCAATTAAAAGTATTCCACGTCTGAGGATATACCTGAAAATAATGAAACATTCTAGTCGTATATACAGCAGAAGTGTAAACGGGTCGCACCATTACATCTGGAGGGGTGGCGAGACTAGTTCACTTCGAGTAAAGTCAGTCAGTAATGTGTCTTATTATTTTTCTCATAGTAGACTCAGCTATGTGAGCCACTCATTCAAGTTCAATGTTATCTTTTCAAACCAGCAATAATGATCATTGCACTGTAAAATTGAGAAGTTACACAAATGACCTACGTTTCGAGAGCTTGTTTTAAGATTATAGCTTTGACATACATGTACCTCTGCCATGGGTTGATGTCTGTACATTTTATAAAAAGTAAACCCACAAATTTCACATTTTTTTTAGCATTTAAAAGGCTAATACTGTCTTTAGGCTAGATAGAGTATCCCTTTAAACATTTCTTTTATGAAATTATTGCGGACGTTGTCAATGTCAACCATACCAGCAACAATAATCAACATTTTTGCTCTTTTGACGCACTAAAACGTGCATGGCGAATTGCAACAGAACAATACTATTCACGCACGTACATACCACAAACATACAGCATTTACTGTTGAATTGTTATAAATGCGTTAAATATAAATGTCTCAGCATTAAAGGGCGGCGGTCGTCACGTCGCGCTCTGTTCGATATAGCGACGTACACAACACATGTAAATTTCATGAAATTCGAGACCACGCTGCGTGACCGTGACGACCACCGCCGTTTAAGTGATTAGTTCCAACCCCTTACCATAATAATAATACACCTACAAATTTCGAGATTGTGGATGGATATTACGTATGAAAAATTAACTATAAAATATGTCTTTAAGTCAGCCTCTTATATTAAGTTAATTTTATTAAATGGCCAAGTTAGGGAGCTTTGTTTGTCTCCATAGAATTCCCAAAATGAAATGCATGCAAGGTGAGGGCAAAGCAAAATATCTACTTTTCAATTAAAATATAATTTTTTACAAATTTGACGTTTTCAGAACGTTCTAGAAGTCATGTTTACGTATCTGCAAAGTGTGAATGCACTTTTCACAAACTTAATTTATCGAAACAGCAAATGAGTCCAATATTTATTTTTGATATTTTAAAACTTTAATATAATCACTCTACAATCACTTATTGTTACAGTTATATAAAAGTTTAAATGTATAAACTGGAAGACATTCTTGAAAACTCATTTGATCCATTTTGACACTCACAAGTGATAGGAATCAATAATCCTAGGGGGGGGGGGGGGAGGACATACAGGCATTTTCACCACCTGGCAACCATCACGGTGAAAACAAAGGCAACAAAATCTCGGTAAACGATACTTTGAAATAGTTGTTCAGACCCCTCTGAACAGTGTAACAAGATTACCCTGCGTGTGTAACATATATAAATTTGGTTGTTCAGCATTACATCAAAGTTGAGTTTGCGTTGTTTTTTCAAATTTAGCTATTTTCACTGGCTTTTCGTTTGGTGTTCCACAGCAGCGCGTACAGAGTCCATAGTAATACATAGTGCAGTTGCGCACTTGTTAGCAGCGGGGAAAGTCTTGTGACATAGCTCCGCTCCCGAGGATAGGATACTTTCTTCAATTCTTCAGCAATACATAGCGCCCTCTAGTGACATAAATGATAGTAAAGAGGCCAATTACAGCCATGGCATTGTTTTGACCTGAATGAATGAATGGTTTGTGAGTGAGCTATATATTATATAACGAAATAATCATAGACTGTTTATGGCGCCCTCACAGTGACCTGTTGGAGAGGCCTTTCAGGTGAATTCAAAACAACTCTAGAGGGCGCTACTTAAAGGTGTGCCTGTCAGTAAATATCCATATGCTTTAATTCAGGGTTATGATGTAAAACTGAAACATCATATCCTATAGTGAAACATCCCTAAACTCAGGTCAGGTTTAAGGACAATGACAGTGAAAACATAAACTCATTCACATCAGGAATCACAAATTCTGCAGCATGATTGGTCAAACTTAGTCATGTGATATAGCAAATTACGCCCATATAGGATTCTTAATCCATTTCATTGGTTAAGAGCAGTTACAGGACATTATATAGTACATTTCTGCAAATAGGGAGCATCATCAATGTTATCAGTATTTTAAGGCATTAATTAATTATAAAAATCCACTGATAAACTACTAGATGTAGTTGTTCAGTATTGATTCATATTTTTCTTGTTGTCCGGATATCTTCTTTGGTTCTCCTTGCTCCATGGCGTATTTCTGTAACAAGAAAGGATATCAACTAATTAATAGAGTTTTGATGGGTATTTTTGAGAAAAAATAGATACAATTAATTGACTTTTTGAGTGCAAAATTTCTGGTCCAACATTTTGCTCACATTTATGTTTTTTTCAAAATATTTTTTACAACAATTTTAGACTAAAATTTTTATTTTTAAGTTGCTTGAAAGTCTTGATTTTGTGTTGCCATAGAATCAAGTATGATCTTATAATATTTACCTCCAATTCTTCAAAGGATGTCTTATTTTTTTCTATTTTAGCTCCAATATCGTTAGTGTAACTACTGTATCTCTCCTGTAAAAATAGACAAGTATAGAATCTTAGTTACTACAGAGTTGTGATGCAGTCAGTGTGTGCATGTATACATATTATAGACATTTGTATCTGTCTGTTGCTTGCAAAAACACTGTTTTTATGAATTTGAACCAAAACAAGTATCTGTAAATCCATTGTGGTGGAAGACTAATGACCTAGGTCAAATGAAGCCGACATCACTAAAACCTAACTGAAGTATTAGTGTATCCATAATGTCTTTTTTCATGTAACTCTATATTAAATCTGGGAGTCGTCACCTGCGCATGCATCAGATGGCCATAGCGTGTCATTGTTTACAAACAAGCATCTACTCATGAGCCTTTGCATTTTTGCGTGTGTTGTTAACGTCGCTTGGGACTCAATTCCTGCATAAACACAGGTGACGACCCTCCCATTTTTAAGAGCCATTATCTGTCTAAAACTATATAAACAGAAACTCAATGTAATCCCAGGACAAAGCAATATCCCCCCAAAAAAATCCCCTCTCAAGAACCATAAACTTTCTGTCGCCATTGGAATTAGAAGAAATGTGATAACAATTTGACTCAAATCACAAAAACATGGTCGCCACTGGTTCTTGTGGAATCTTAGTACTAACCTTTGATATGGAGTATTATGTAAAGTATTAATTATTTATGAGCCGATTAAAAACAAATACAGGTGTTTACAAGAAATTGCATAATTTTTTTTGATTGATACATGTATTGATTGATTGATTTGATTTGGACTGATATCGTTTCCCAGCTCAGTCTCTGAAACCAGTTCTACGATGCTTTCTAGGAACAGTAGGTGGTGTCAAAAAGTGGGTTGTGTCATTTTGTTTTATTTTCCTTTAATTATGTATGCGCATAATACTAATAATATTTTGAAAGCCATGAAGAACTTAGTGAACTTAGGGCCATCCCTAAATTAATATTAAGACCGCTCCACACACAGTGCTCAAGACTGCATATTCAGCAAGAAAAAAATACTATTCACGAAATGTTTAAGTAAAAAATCAATTAGTTAGAAACAGCTTTTCTCTTTAAACTATCCCATGATGCACTGTATCATAATAGAGGTAATATTCTTTATGGACTATATACGGCTTTTGCAACCCGAGGGAGAGCGAAGGGAGGACTCAAGCTTGCGAGGGCAGCAAAAGCTGTATGACCGAGGGCAGCAAAAGCCGTATTCAGTCCATGAAGGTATTATCATATACCTTATACGTCTAATTACAATTTTACCACAAAGTGTCCTCAAACACAAGACGTGATTTAGAATGACATGTTTATTTTGATTGATGCATGCTGAGCGCGCTGGAACGGGCATTATAAGGGAAATTATTGCCCCTGATGTGAGGGCACACCTACCATAGTGTAACAAGATCGGGCAATATGAGGTATATGATAACAAGTAAACACTAACCTGAACTAGATTCGGCAAAACTCCATCTTTGATTATTTTAACTGCATTGCGTAGTCCTCTAGCGAAGCTATCCATAGCGCCAATATGTGCAATGAACATGTCTTGCAAATTGGTTGACTCGCGCCGTACCTTAGCGTCAAAGTTCAAACCACCTGGCTTCAGACCACCTTGATCCAGTACAGCCTGTTGAGATAAAAGCATGTTATGATTCAAGTAGCAGCCACATCTCATGCTTCACACTATATTTATGATTGGTAACGAGTCTGTATGTGTGATGAGATATTATTCTCTGATATGATCACTGTAAGATGATTTATTTTTACTTTTTTGGGGGCTGGTAGCTTAACCTTCAAATGATTCGATAAAATCTTCTATGCAAATTTTCTCTAAATGTATTACTATTTTTAAAATTTTGATTTTCCCAAAAAAACATTGCAACAATTACATTACTTAGCAGGTTTGTAGAAAAAGAATACAGGAGATTCATTGTTAGGTCAAGGGTCAATGTCTCTTTGTAAACAGG